CTGTTGCACTATGCTGCAAGATGCTGAATGGGGCATCAGGGAGGTCAATTGCAACGTATCCAGGTATCCTAGTTTATTGTTGCAACAGGTAGTGGGAGGCGCGGTGGCCAAGGGGTCAGGGCGAGGTACTCCGGGGCTAGCGGTCCGGATTCGGGCATTGCTTTTGTTCCTGGGCAAGGCACTAGCACTTTACACTCACAATCCCTATTTCCACCCATTTGGGCTAAAAAGGCTTTACTACGTAAAAGGTTACGTTAAAATATTGAGTGCGTTTGGTAGGGCCTTAACCAATCTTTATATACAATAGTCCCTGTTTCCACCCATTTGGGCTAAACAGGCTTTACTACGTAAAAGGTTGCGTTAAAATATTGAGTGCGTTTGGTAGGGCCTTAACCAACCTTTATATACAATTCAAACGAAAAGCAAGTAGTCAACACAAAACCTTGAAGAACTTAGAAGCAAGAAAAGGTATGACGACTAAAGTGAGTAGCTCAGTAATACTTTGTCGCTTGTCTCTATTCCAACAGACGTTCTGTGTTAATCTTTGTATCTATCGCCATAAATTAAATTAAATATTCCTTCAAAATTACATTCACCTGTTCAAAGAGACTGTACAGTACTAATCTCGGAAACGTTCGGCCGTGAACGTGGAATTAAGTTGAAAATGATACATTTAAGCTTTCTTTTTAAATCATGCTTTCTCAGGGAGTAGGCAAGAGGGTTAAATACCGATGTACAAAGCCTGAGGTAATATATCGTTAGGAGAAGGAAGTAAGGTACATGTTGCGGATGATAAAGCTGAAACAGTTGTAAAACAAAACAAGGAAGCCAGAAGATGACGTACAGGATAAGAAGCAACACGCATGTCAACACAGCTCTTCTTTGCCTCTTTTGAAGCTTCTGTTCATGTTTGATGCATTCCACTGGCACGTTTTCCCGCGCAATTCTCTTGCACTGCCTTCGAAGCAACAGCAACATGTGCGCGTCAAGGGCAGCCATGACAATCATAGCAACACCGAAGAACACTACGATATTGAATACAAAGTATATTGTTTCCTTCTCTTGGACCAGAGCCAAGTCTTCAACAGCTGTTTTAACAGTGACATTCCAAGTCCACGAAAGGCGAATTAGAGACTGCCCAAGACTAATTATCCATGTGATTGCAAGGACTATTAAAACTCTACTGCGGTGAACAATATCATGGTAACGTAAGGCCCACATAATGTAAATGTAACGATCGCAGGTCATTACGGTGATGTGTAGCACGGTAGACAGGGCCATAAATTCGAAAAATGTGATTGAACTGTTACATACCAAAGTTAGATGTATAGCACTACTGCAGGTCACAAGGAGAGGAATACCAACGAATCCCACCAGAAAGTCTGACACTGCTAAACTGGCCAGGATGATATTGCTTGTTTTTCTTAGGGACGAGTAACATGTTATGAGCAGAATAACACAGCCATTTATCGCCAAAATGAAGACCATGAAGACAATGGCAGGGATTGAGTCATGAGAAATGCCAGACGTTTGAACGGAGCCGCTAGGTTTTTCAGAATGCGTATAGTTATCAGACTCAGTCGTATTTTCTCCGTTCCCTGAGAGGTAATTCATGATATTTTTCCCGTTGTCAAGTTTAACGTCTTGAATTCTGATGTAAGGCTAGATTGTGATCGTGATCAAACCCGTGATCGGCAGCGTGACCGGGACCGTGATCGTGATCCAAAACTAGATCGTGGGACTTCTTGAGGTGAAGTTCTGGATTGAATCCTTCTGTCTAAACAAAGATACTTGTATCAGTATCCAATCAGCAAACACTTTTGTTTGAAACGAATGTGTTTTCGCGCTTGTGTGGGCTGGTAAAACCCGCTTGCCGCGCTTAGCTAATTATGCAATAAAAATGGAGATCGTTATTAATATTTAATATAAGAGTTGTTCATTTTCAAAATTTTAAAGCCGACCTGGAGAGCTCTTGTTTATTCATCGAAGTCAATGCGTCATGCTGTGTGTGTTGATATGTATATACAGCTGTTTGAGTGGGGCAAGGAAAAATTCCAGTCAGAAATCAAGTAGCTTTGATTTCTGTAAAAAAGATAATAACATCTGAATGTACAACTCACTAAGTTCGTTACTACAATTCTACGTTAATGCCACAATAGTCAAGTCAGTGAAAATGCTTCTGCCTTAAGAAATGTCAACAACATTTTGCCCAGAACATCTTGAAAATATTCTATTATTCATCCAGAGCTCGAAGGCCAATTAAGATATACTGAACTGTGATTGGTGGTTTTCTGTCTTTGAGCACATTGATTTTCAACTCATGGCAAAATATTTATCCATAAAGGATTTATTTTTTAACCAAACTGTACAAAAGAGACGAACATGGTTCTTATCCTTTTTTTTTTTCTTTTCTCTTTCTTTCCTTTCCTATAGTTGTTTTTGTCAAACAAAAAGCGGCTCGGTATCCTTAGCGACGAACGATATTTCCACTGCATGTAATAAAAATGGCCGGTATATCTAAACGCAATCACCCGATGTGACAAAAAATACGAAATTAACAACCCACAGGAGTAATTGAAATTGAGTCTTTTCAGAGGACATTAAGAAATAAAGAATTAAGACAAGTTGACCGGGGCAGTACAGACGATTTCTGAACTCTAAAAAAAGCCTAACAAGTAGAAACTTATATTTGCTCCTCAAGCGAGCTGGCCGGAAGGCTCTATTCAAACTTGAAAACTCTCCTTATAAAAGAACATACAGTGCCCTTGTGGTATATGTAAAGCAAATTAAAAAGGACAGTGGACCGAATTTGAAAGGGAAAGGCAAATACAAGTCTTTCAGACAAGTTTTCACATTAATTGCGCGAATTTTGTACAGCTCGTTTAATTTATGACAGATATTGCTAAAATGAGAATCTTTTTACCTGCTGTTTACATGCGATATGAAAACACAAACTGTATCTGTACACTCACCTCTAATTATTCCCTGTATAGAGTTTGCTTACCGGGAGGGTCCGTGGCGTTTAAAAGTTTGAATGTATGTTACTAACTGAAAGTACGCTAGCGAAGAAAATCTCGAACTGAATACGTGCAAATTAATCGGCGCCGAATCTGTCATCCTTACATTATCTCTACATAATAAGAAGAACGCCAAACACCAATCACATCACGACCAAAATCAACAGAGTTAAACATACCGAATATTGGACAATATTTGCTCAGGTTGTGCGAATTTTTTTTTCTTTGTAATTCATTAAAATTAAAATTATAAGTTGTATCAGTTCCCATTAGTACTGAAACTTAAATAATCGTTGCGCCTTTGACTGTCTGTATGCTTGTAAAAGACAAATCTTTGAATCCTATTACATGTAGTTTAGCGTTTAATTAAATCATAAAGACGTATTTCTAAATTTCATTCGACCCTGCTAATGCATTTTCTAATCATTCAAACAGCTGCAAGTAGATATTTCGTATTATGTCGTCCGAGTAATGGACAGACGTGAAAAAATATATTCTTAGTTTCCCTCAAGACAAAGCGAAAGGATATTTGAAGACTGCCAAGGTTTAAACCACCGTTACTGGCGAGTAAAGTTTTGTATAGCAATCGTTTTCTCCTTCCTTGCGAATGTGATAAGATTACTAACCTTCTATTCAGCTAAAGGCCTGACCGAATGAACCTTGAAGACTAAGGACCACCCTGGGTTAAGTGTTCCAAACATTTAAAGCGAGACTAACAAACTAAGTTACAAAATAAAAAGTTGCAACAAAGCAATACGTGGCAACATAAGCGGCTGACTGTGTTTGTAATGGATTGAGTTAACACGTCGTTAAGACAATTTGAATTGTAAAAACCGTGGATCACTTAAACGAATTAAGCCGGCCTTTAGCTTCAGCTAGGCTAGTCTCAAAGCTGCGCCAAACGATGTCACGAAAAAACGCTTACGTTCACAATTTGTATCCAAAACACACAATTATTCGAAATGAAGATTTTCATTACTGCTTACAACTTACTTACAAGGTTTGAGGTGTCCGGGCGTTTTCATTAAACCATAACAAATAAGGGTTATTTCGCAGCAGTCTCAAGGTTTTAGCGCGTTATTGCTCTTTAGATCTTTATGTTTCGTGCTTATCTTTTCACGTTCGCTTGATCAGTTGACCAATAATAATAACACGGATCAAGAAATTACTCTTCTGACGTAAAAGATCGGTGGGCTTTGTTGGAATTTCATGTAACTCGTAGACAACTTTGGCTTGACGTGGTTGAATTGACAAGGAGAATGAATCGCTCTTTTCAGTAAGAAAAGATCCGCATAAAGAACAGATTAGGATTTAAGCGTGAACAATGATGGAAGAAACTTAGAAAACACATAGTCCATCCAAAACAGTTTCCTTTGAGGTAAGAAACATGGGATGATGACGTCATACGCGTGGTAACTGCGTCATAATATAAAAATAGCTGCTATCGTGGATGCTAGCACCATCTTAGAGTTCTAGATTTTTCAAAAGCGTCAGAAAAACTGAAAAAAATACAGAAAGATTAAAAGACCTAAAACTGATCAAGTTAATAGAACAATGCTAAAAAGTCCTACAAATATAGAAAAAGGTTACGGAAAGATAAATGTTATTTATAAAAAGAATAAACTTTAAAATTTGGAAACAGCATAGCTGCCAGAATACGTTTGTGATGGATAAATTAACTTCTAAGTACAACTACATGTGATACCAGTTTGGCAGCTTTTATGTAAACATTGAAAAAAATTATAAACGGTTTACCTTCCCTCCCCCCCTGTTTGAGCAGGGTTACAAAGGCATGTTAGTACTTTGCATTTGAAGTTGTCTCATGCAAAAATTGGGCAATCATCAAAGCTTTGGACAATTGCAAAAAATGTGAATATCGCTTGCAAATGATTAGCTGGAAATATTGCAAACCACCTTTGGTAAATCTTAGATTTTGAAGCAACTTTGCCTGGAACAAATAATCTTTGTTAGATTTGGAAGCGATTAACTTAATGCTAATGGAGCCCTCGCCATCTTTGAACGCTTGTAACTTTAAAAGCGATCTTTTTAAAGCAATTAACATCAACCTTAGAGACTTTTCTTAACATTTACTTAAGCGCAATTATACGACATGTCAATGGTTAGGAAATTGTCCTCATAGGAACCGTATTTTAACAGGCATGTCTTTCAAAGTTTTGAATTTTCCAGTTTTAAATGAAATTCTATAACTTTTTTCATCAACTTTTACTTTTTTAGAGAAATTTTGCTTTTTTAGCAGTCTTGACTATCTTTGAGCCCGCTTTTGTGGTTTTCAAACACTTTATAAAAATCACGCAATCCAGGATGGCTGACAGAAATGGCGGCTTTTTGGAAATTATTAGCCATTCCTACGTTATATGACGTCATTTATGTACCTGAAAAGAAATATTTTTGGAAATGCTATAAATCTGCAAAGTTCCATTGTCATTAATGCTCTAACAGATTAAGGAGTGAGGGTCTCAAAAGTTCGTTACCCCCTCTCCAATTAAACAGTCGCAAAAGATCGAAAAACGCCCGATCTAAATTGGGCTGTTAATTAAGTGTCTAAAGACTCTTTTTTTTTCGAAATCAGAAATCTGCCAATAAGTTAGATCAATGAAGATTTCGAGAGACGAAATCGAGGACAGGTCTTAAAATGGCAGAACGGTGTATAATTTTGAATACAAACAGAAGTGATATTCAAGAGAGCAAGTCAGAAAGTTATCTATCTTGTTTGAATTGTTCGTCCCTTGAACGGAGCAGACATCCGTGTTTACGTTTTAAACCAACGAGGAAATATAAACTGCATTGTTTGCAACCAAGCGTTTTGCATAGGCACAGTCCATGCTTTATCTCCACAAGCTAATTAATCAATTTAGCCTTTGGTTTCTTTGTAAATAAAAGCAACAACGCACAATTCAATTTAAATCTAGTTAGTTTTGCGTTCCATATGTACTTTGTTTACAGTGCTCTCAGCTAATTCTGTAGCGGCCCGTGAGGCGTATCCTTGTTTTCTGTAAACGACAAATTTAGAAAGCTTTACTGTCTAAAATTCCTTGAGTGTCACATTTTAGTCTTTTTTCAACACAGTAAAACAGCGGCAAGAGAAATGGTTCATCCTTGTTAACGAGCGAACAAAAGAAAAGAAAAAACCGCGACATATTGAATACCGAAATGGTCGCAGACTAGCTGTACACAACATGCTGTATATATACACATATCTATTGTGTTTAGTTGATTAACACCTACATTTTGTCCAATCAAGATGTGAATACCCCTGTTATACAGTCAGGCCTGTGTTAGCTCTTAGATCTTTCCTTCTCCTCATAAGACGACGCTTTTCTTGCAGTAAAAGGTTTTTCGTCTTAGATGACGGCGATAAATTAGTGTGCGACAAGCCTAAACCCGTAAATGAATAGCCTAAGGGCAGTCTCGTACAATAATTTAATCAAGACACGTTCACTGGTACACTCGCTATTGAATATTGCACTTAAGATGGATTAACGCACCGTAGACATAATAAACCTGCGATATGCAAAACATAGAAAACAAAGAGACTAATTTATGAATTGAGTTCAGTGTGGAAAAAACAAAATAAGTCTCCGAAACAGCTATCGAGGAGCAAGACAAGAATTGCAGATTAAGCTTAACTCTAAGCAAAACAATTTTACTCGTAACGTTTTCCTGAAATTTTTAAATCTGAAAGTGGCTTAAAATATCTTGGCAAAAATTGTTGATTGTGCTGTCACCGACCAATCACACGTGTGATGTTAAAACCGCATGAAACCACAAGAGCAAAAAGATTCATTGTTCTATACAGCTATCAATCAAGAAACTGAAAAGAGTCTTTACAGAACCATTTATGTGCTGTTATTAATCAGGTAATTAAGTATTACTTAGTACTAAATCGATGTTAGAAATTGTGTAAATAGTGTGATAAAAATAGAAGGAAAATTCCGAATTAATCCTGAACAGTGGGTAAGAATTAAGCGAAAGCATTGAGACGGAAATAACTCCAAAGGCATCTATAAAAAATAACACAATAAAACTCAGGCCAGTGGTTTCGGCCGCTGATGTGAATCGTTAGAGCCAACAGTTGCCGCGTTTAGTGGTAACGTGGGTAACTCTGCATTTTCCCATTCGACACTCACTCATTCCAGGTTCAGTAAAATAAAACTATATTAGGAATATTTCTGCTCCCCTGGATGGGGTGCCGACGTGCGGTCAGCTCAAAGCTTGCTCTAGATATTCTCCTCTGTGGTCGGAGTAGAACCAGTGGGAGCGGTTTAGTCTATCTAACTTTTACGCTAGTTC